GAGAGAGAGAGAGAGAGAGAGAGAGAGAGAGAGAGAGAGAGAGAGAGAGAGAGAGAGAGAGAGACCATCTCTCCCCCCATCGCCTCCCTCCAGGCTCCACCTCGATCGTCTCTCCACCCGGATCTTTCTCCTCCTCCCCCTCCTCGTTTTCTTCTTCTTCTTCTTCTTCTTTTTCTTCTTCTTCGTCTTCTTCTTCTTCTTCTTCTTCTTCTTCTTCTTCTTCTTCTTCTTCTAATCGTCTACCTCTCCTCCAAGGCTCCACCTCCTCGCCACTCTCCGCCTCCTCCTGCCCCTGTTCTTCTTCTTGTTATTGTCTACCTTTGATTGTCTCTCCTTCTCCTTTGATCGCCTCCATCCACCCTGATCTTTCTCCTCCTCCTCCTCCTCCTCCTCCTCTTCTTCTTCTTCTTCTTCTTCTTCTTCTTCTTCTTCTTCTTCTTCTTCTTCTTCTTCTTCTTAACACCTTCTCCAGTTTGTGCTGTTTCCACCTGTGCTTGCTGTTTGTCCCCCTCCCTCCAACCCCAACCCGCCCCACCTGCCCCCCTCTCCTCCCCCCAAAAAAACGAACAGCAACAAAAAATACGGAAGACCCTGGATTTGGGCCCCTTAGGCAGGGCGCAGAACGGTCATTAATGCCGAAAAGAAAAAAAATAAAATTTTACTGTGTTTTTTTCTCACGCCCGGCTGACCCGGGCACGGGACCAGCCCGGGCGTAACTGCCTGGTTGTGAAAATCTTTCTAGCTATCTGAACTTTTTCATTATGGATGGTTTGTTACGATTTGCTGAGGAAATGAGAGAGGGAATTTGGGGTGCTTTAACATAGCATGTGGTTCACATGAGCCAGAGCTTCCATGGCATCTTGACAACTACGTCCTGGCCTAAATCCATAAGAGTGAGGTTCAAAACAGGCTTCCCATTCGGGTTCTAGAACCATTTTAGCTAATGCCTGTTTAGCTCGATCCGCAAGAAAAAGGAAGTGGTTCCGTCCCGTCCAAGTTTGGCCATCGAACTTCAGTATACTGCACTCATGTACGGCACCCTGACATGTCATGTCCAATTTGTAGACAGGGGCTTGAACGGCAATGCCTCTACAATTGCGGTCGACGTGCCTCTGTGTTCCTAGCATGTAGGAGCCAATATTCGCGCATACATCTTACATCGTTCAGGTCATTTCAGTGCTCTTACCTTTGTGGATAACTCATGGACCCTATGGGACAATGGCGGTAGGGTGCACGCAGCAGGAAATGTCAACTCTTTCTATCGTCAAGCGGTACAACATCACTCGGTCTGGCTTGCCCATCAGGAACAGTATGGCGATGAGCACTCGCAAGCACTACTGCCTCTGGAGAGCAATCCGGCTGAACCTCCTTCCCCTGTGCATGGTCAGGCAGCATCCCCTCCCTGCGTGGATCAGACGAATTCTACCATGAACAGTGAAGGCACCTCTCCAGGGGATGGAGATTGTGCCCTCCTCCAATTGTGTCATCGCACATGTACGGTCCGGTTAGCATGTGCACGGCATAGCCTCTGCTCCGAACACTATGAAGGGATGGTCGCTGCAAGCCTCTGCCGCGAAAACTGCGATCCTTTGTCTCGTGTTCCCCCCCCCCGATGAGCACTCGCAAGCACTACTGCCTTCGGAGAGCAATCCGGCTGAACCTCCTTCCCCTGTGCATGGTCAGGCAGCATCCCCTCCCTGCGTGGATCAGACGGATTCTACCATGAAC